ATATACCTGGGATCTTTATTAACAGTGAAGTAACCTGTGCATTTCTAGTACAGCAGGGTTTTATGAACACATAACAAGATTGCAATCTAATAACAGAATAGTAAAAAAAAAAAAAAAATACCATTACATAAAGTTAGGGAAAAAAAGCAAAAATGCACACAGTAGTACCAGTTAGATTTACCCACCCACATGCGGCAGAGTAAAGAATACCAAAATATTACTAGTTCATTATAAAAAAAAAAGTATATTATTTGAAGCAGCTGGGTTGGCTGGTCTTGGATTCAGACTGAAGGTTGAGTTCCTGTCAATCTCATGTGCTTCTTTCCTCAGGAATCCTTTACTGAGCCACCTGCTCTTCACAGAGTGAAGGACAGGATCACAAAAGAACTTGCTTAACCGCATGATCCCATGTAACTTGGCTGTGTGTCACAGTCCCTCGGCTTCCATTGACCAAAGCAAGTCATGTGGCCAAGCCCAAAGTCAGTAGTGCAATAAGTAGAGTTAAAAAAAATAAAAAGAAATATTTGCTGAACAATCATGCAGTGCACTACAACAGTGTAGTTAAAAGCTACTCTTTAAATGCATTAAAATGGTTGCCATTTTTGAAAAAGAGGAGGTTATACTAAGTAGGAACAAGATGTGAGGATAAATTGACATAACAAAATGAGAAATAAATATGCCTAGCAGATCCATTGATGAAAATGTTCCATAAATTATTGGTTATATTTTACTTAAGTCTCTGTACATGTGGTCCAAACAAAATAAAAACCCCGCAATATTTAAGGGCACTACAATAAGTGTTAAGGATTGAAGTTTTCACATTTTCTAGCCTTAGAATTTCAAACATAAAGATATAGAAGTTAATCACAAATTAATCAAGTAAATAAAAATGACAACTAGAAAATCTTTAAGGAATAAATGTTTAGGGTGCTGTAAAACCATACGAGATGAATCTGATTTTGTGTGGATGGTTCTAGACAGAAGAATTAGGCTCAACAGGTGGAGGAAAATAAAAAATTTTAAAAAACAAAGGAGGCGATTTTGTAAGGAGGCAGGGAGATAAACCTGAGGCAGATTGTATTCATAAAGACAGTGTCAAGATGTTTTGTTTTATCCTAAGAAAAATGGGAGGATTTTAAGACAGAAAGGATAGGGTTGCTAATTACTAGCTCTAGTTCAAGTTCATCTTTATTTTTAAGTTCCCTTGGTTTTGGAAGTTGGTTTGTGTAAAGGAAATTTTATTTTGTTTGGACCACAGGTACAGAGATTTTAGTAAAATCTAATTTAAAGGAAGTTAAATATGCCCCCACTGTTACCTTATACATTTAAAAAATGTATCCAAATAAAGGAATGTTAAAATAAATATATGATTTGATGTCTTTAGGGGATTGACTTATGTTTACCTTTGGAAAAAAAATTCCCAAAAGAGTTAGTGGTAAATAATCTTGAAGCAAATATGTCTTAAAATTTTTAGTAGCTGTGTGATTACACTATCTGTAGAAATTGAACTATATGCAGACATTATGTTAAGTCAATGATATATGGCATAAGGACCTTGCCTTTAAGAGCTTCAACTTACTGTGTTGTCAAAGCATAGTGGTCACTTCAGGTGTTTGAAAGCAGGATTGGGGAGAGGAAGGAAGAAAAGTACATGATCTTCTCAATGGTTATATGGAGAGTTTTGTTGCAGTTTCTTCTATTCTTAAGTATACCTTAACATCTAGTTAAATGCACTAGAATTTTTTTAAATGACTGTCATAATGAGTGAACAACAACAACAATGAATCAAACCACTTTATATTACTCCCTGATGCTAAATTGTATTGTTACAGAATACATCAGATTAGTTGATTTCAAAGACATTGGGAGAAACAATTTTGGGAACCATGTCAGAGAGAGAACTCTTTGTGTACTTGAAAACAAATTACCTAATGTTTGTGTGTAATGATAATAATAGGGTTAGTATTTCCTGACAAAATGCGATTGCCATTATTATGAAGAAAATTACATGAGTCTGAGCAATTTCTTGGTAATTATGTATTTAAGAAAAATGACTAAATCCAGATATCCCCTGATAATAAGCACTTATTATTTTAGTCCATTATAGTCTCATTGAAATTCCTTATGTTTGCAGGTTTAAGACATCTTTCATACAGATCTGCAATTACTTTCTGTAGTGATTAACTACATTCTCACCATCATTAAGTCAAAACATACTGTGTTTGACACTAAAAAGAATGGAAATTAAAAGTAAAAATGTACTAACTAATAAAGAAAATATTTGAAATCTCAAGGTTATATTTTCTTCATATAAGTTTATATTTATTCAGTTCTATTAGTTACATATGCCTTGTTATTGTATAGAAATATATTACCTTTAGTTTAAAAAAAACTAACATAAGCAACATTGTTACAAGATTTTTAATTTTTTTTTTGTCCATCATATTCCCATATCTAGAAAAACTGCCAGGCTCAGAGTATCATCTCAGTATATCACCAAATTACTACATATGTACTAAATAAAGTACTCTTCCAGTAGTTTTGTCTCATATTAATATTATTGAGTTTTATATATATCAAATTTAGTAGATAAAAGGACATCATAGTGTTGAAATCATGCCTTTCACACTTTGGAGACCACACAATATTTAAATAAGTCACAGACTATTCCAAATTGTATTTGGAAAGAAGCCTAATACATAAACAAACAAATTAATTAATTCATTTAATAGATGTCATAAATCATGTTGTTCTTTGGGGCTATTAGGGTTGGCAAACATCCCCAGAGTCCCATTAAGTTATTGACTAATGTTACTAGTGTTGGTGTTTGTGTTTAACTAGGAAAAATGATATTGTCCACATAATCCTTTAAGACTTAAGTTACATAAAGAAGTTACTTAACTTCTGTGAACCTCATTTCCATATAAGAACATTAAGATCACCTCAGTGGATTGGTGCTTGTACTTAATGAAAAATGAAAACACTTAGTGAATGTCAGGCACACGGATTTTGGTTACTACGGTATTTACTCCTCAGTCTTGCTTTCATGGCAAAAATGCTTCACTTTGCCTCTGGTCTGGGACAGTGCTTGTGGCCTCATCGTTTGTGAACTTCAGGATACCAATGCCTGGACTCTGGAAGTAACTCTGATGTCATCCATGACATAGTCAAATTGGGAAATAAAGTTTTCATGAAACTACCATGCTAATAGGGTCTTTACAATATCCCCAAATAAGTGCACAAGTGGGCAAAAGTAGGTTTACAGTTGTTTCTATAGAAAACAATAGAGCAATTAATAATAATACAGGAACAAACTCCATGTTTCACATACTGAAACCTGTTTCAAAACAGTAAACCTATTTTTGCAAATCCCTGTATGTACATATTTTAAATAATTTTTACAGGATATTTTGTTTAAATAGACATCTTCCATGTATTCCACTTAATAATGATACATATCTACTTTTATCCCTTTGAGTTTAAAACAAAATGTCCCAAATCTTGACACATAAATTGTTTTAGTTTGTCATGCTAATACTCAAATAATATAACAGATCATATTCCACATATAACACAACCACTGTAATATTTACAAATCAAACTATTTTTAGGCATATCACATTTTCTTATGTAAGTGTCTATGTAGAGTGGTATGAAGTCCACTTGTCTATAACTCTGAAAATCTGTGCTCTAGTTCTAGCACCTTCATTTAGTACATCCATGATTCTGATAGCTTTATCAGAAATATGAGAAAATTGTGTTTTTCTGTGCACCTTCTGTCCTCCCCACTTGACCAAATATGAGGCCCATAGTACATAAGCATATGTTTCTTACCATTGCCTAGCATCTTGAGAGATGAATGTGAATAGCTATGAATGAGTATCTATGACCAGATATTGATGGGTTTGAAATTGAAAACTTGGGAACAATGTAACCACATTTTTAGTTAAGTAAATTCTTAGAAATCCTCTGAACCATATAGAAAATAATCTATGCATCTATGATTTTTGCAATCACTAAAAATATATCAGTTTTGTTCAATGATGTGTAACTCAGATTTATTGCATTGTGCAGTATATAGTGTAAGAGCACTATAGATTGTATAAGAACTCTAATGGTGTGGGAACACATTAGATTTTATGTTCTGGACAGAAGAATTAGGCTCAAAAGTAGGAGTGGGGAAATAAGTTTTAAAAAACAAAGGAGGCAATTTTCTAAGGAGGTAGGGAGATAAACCTGAGGCAGATTGTATTCAGTCTGGTGTGCATAAAGACAGTGTCAAGATGATTTGTTTTATCCTAAGAAAAATGGGAAGATTTTAAGACAGAAAGGATAGGGTTGCTAATTACTAGCTCTAGTTCAAGTCATCTTTATTTGACACTAACTAAAAGAATGAAAAATACAGTTTCATAAAAATACAGAACAATATTAAATATGAGGATTTATTTATTAGAAAAATTCAGAGGATCCCATCATTATTTTAAAGGAGAGCTCCATATCAGAATGTATTAACTATGATAGGAATTAACATGGGATATAAGCACCGAAGCTGAGAAGTAGGGAAGAGATGATGTTTTATGTTCACCCAATCTAGAAAAAAAGGGGCGGGGAGAATTTTCCTTATGATAGATGGTTTCACTTTTCCACTACTGTACTCAGGAATCTTTTTGAAGGAATATTTAGCATATACAGTGTTTAGGGAGTAAGCTGAAATTCATAAAAATAAAGACAAGTGGAAGAGAGGATAGCCAATTCAACTATTAATTTATTATTTTACAAAATTGTAAATGACATGTAGTAAAAACTCTTCACTAATTCAGACTGAGTTATTGGAATGAAATGAAGATTATGCTACCTCTGAATCTGGAATTATGGGAAATTGAAATGTGATTTTTTCACTTTTAAAGGCCTTGCTTTAAAAAAAATGGTTTTAACATTTTCACTATACTTTGTGTTTATTGTGTGACTGTAAATTAATAATATATATAATCTTATTGTAGGGATTACCTGCAAGTCGTGTGAGGTATAGAGTAGATGGTGTCCAGTCTCCTTATCCTGCCAGTATTTTTGATGTAGAAGAAGATTCTGGAACAGTAATCACTCGTGTCAATCTTAATGAAGAACCTACGACCATTTTTAAGGTTAGTTTTTCTTGTCTATTAGATGCTTAATTTTTTATTGAAAGTTTGGTTTGACAGATGACCATACTTTTTCTCTTTTTCTTTTTAATATTTTAAAATTACAAACACACATTTTAACTGCATTGACATTTTGAAAATACAATTCAATAAAAAGAAAAAAAATCACTTGATATTTCACACTTTGGAGATAACTAGAATTTACCATTTTACTCTCTATCCTTATGTTATATTTCTATTTAAATACAAATATATGTTTTGAGTAACATGGTCATATTATTTATACTGCTTTTTTTTAAAAGCACCACCACCATTTAAAACTTTATTTTAGAAAGTACTCACCTACGGCAAACAGTGGAGATTTTTAACCTTCATATCCATCACAAGTTAATTTTTTAAAAGGAAAGGATTTAGCATTTCTGCAGAAGATACAATGAATAAACCCAACAAGGCAGTAGATACTGTGCAGGCATGTGCAACAAGTATGCAGAGGCCATTTTATTTGGTTCATTAAGTATAGTATAGTTATATTTGAGTTCTACAAAACATCAAATATAAATGAACTGAAACTGTAACAATACACAGAAATTGGCTTCTTACACAGACATACCAGGCAGTACAAGCTGAAAACCTGAGTAAATTAACATTGTTTTACATCAATATACATAGTGCTAGTTCATATTTAAAAACAAGTTTCAATATAGCACTTGATACTTTTTTTTAATCTGTTTCAGTTAAGAGTATGAAATAGGTAAAATCTAGGCTAAAAATAATTCTTTTTAATATTCTATTGTAGGAATATACTATCCTCTTCATTTGTTTAATACCTTGTTGTTGGATAACTAGGCTTTTTCTAATTTTTTTGTTATCTAATCTTTGCTCTCTTGAAACTCCTTTTGCAATTATCATTTGCCACTTGCTTTCCCCCCCTCCCCCAATCCCTTAAATAACTTCAGGCAGAATTGCTGGATCAAGTTTATGTACTCATGAATAGTTATACTTCCAGAAAATGTGGAATAATACTAGCCCTCCCTATTCTCCTAAGTAATCTATTTTGTTGAATGTTTGAATGTTTCCATTTTCTATAGTTACTTAGAATTAAATTTTTCACTGCGAGTAAAGCCTTTGGCTCTGCAAAGAGTTAATGGTGTAATAAAGCGCATGTTTCTGTGTGAAACCAAACAGCTCTGTGCCTGAGTTGCTGGTTTGACTTAAAAGGTTTACAGCCCTTACGCAACGCCCACCCCAGTATTACCTGATATAATTCAAAATATACCAGTCTAAGCCCTAATATAAGTAAAGGCATCTGACACATTTTGATTATTCTCATAATAGTCTCCATTTTTTTTCAATCAAATACTCATCAGTTAACATTGCGACTATCAGTAAATACTGTGTCTCACATAATTTTATCAGTATTTGTAATAATTACTTTCTTTGTAAGATTGAAATCTAAAGCTAAATCATGGCTCTCAGATGACTCTTGGTTATGATTTGATGATCTAGTTTGAATAAATTTAGATTAGTAATATGTAGTTTTCAAACTTATGTTCTGGAGAAACATAATTTTGAGTATATTTAGCATTTCTTATAATAAACACTAAAATTCTTCTAGATATAGGTTATCAAAGAAAATGGTAAATCATAAAAGTTATTTTAATAATTACCTCATACAGCTATTATACTTAAGACAAGCTTTTCTTAGTTTGCATTATTTGAACATTTTCTGCTGTAAACTGGGTTTTATATCTTGTAATTGTTTTTAAGTGAGAGTATTTCAAAGTGTGTTAAAGTATAAACATTTCTAATTTTATCCTCCAGAATAAGTATTTCTGGCCTATAATCTTGCAGAAAATTAATTCTCTTTGGAAGAACTAATTCTCTAATATACGTAAGCTAATTAATTTTTTGCTATTGATGTGACTAAAATTAACACTTTTTTAAATGTGTTAGTGCCTAGAAAGACATGTTTTCACTGTAGCCACGAGTGAAATTATAAAAAAGATTTAATCATTGGGAGATATATTATAACATAACTGTTTTACTGGTAGTTTTATTTATCATAGAGTTAGTAATTTATTTGAGTTATATCATCTCACAAATTAAAATAATAACATCTACCTGGCAGGATTTTGTGCAGATTAAATAATACAGGAAGCATACATTAGGACCTTGCCTGCTACTTGCTATTCAGTGTTCTGCCAGGCAGTCTTGGGATTAAAAGCACACATGGAAAAATGAGAATGTATTTTGTTGTTAATAACTTTAACGTGAATTTTATTACTTTTTAAGCTGGTGGTTATTGCGTTTGATGATGGTGAGCCTGTGATGTCCAGCAGTGCCGTAGTGAAAATTCTCGTCTTACATCCCGGAGAAATCCCACGTTTCACACAAGAGGAATACAGGTATGACTCCTATTGGGTTTTGTAGTTAATAAAGGGCTTTGCTTTGTTTTGGCCTCTAAAAATTGATGTGATATATGAGGTTATCAATGAAATGATCTCCCAATTCTAGTCTAAGCTTCTCTAAATTAACATAACATTATATTTATTTTAAAAGTTAATATAGGTAAAATAACAGTTTACTGAAATATTTGAGTTTTACTAATGCTTTGATGAAGAATGGGTCCTTTCTAAATAACTAAAGCAAGCTTTGAAAAATACAGCATTGTGTTTGAGAGTTTGAAATATAACTGACTTATGGTCTCAGTGGTAAGAAGCTGCCATTTAGTTCCTTACTATTGACAGACACAATATATTACCCAATTTGGGCATGTTTCAGAAACGGTATTTCCCAAAAAATCAGTGAAAGAGAAAAAGAGACATACAGAGAGAGTACTATGTGTATATGTGTATAATGTTTATTACCTATTTATAGCTACAGGGTTTGTCTGTACACTATGTTAGTCAGTCAGGCTGCCATGATAAAATATCATGAACTGGGTGTCTTAAACAGTAGATGTTTATTTTCTCACAGTCTTGGAGACTGGAAGTCTGAGGTCAGGGTGCCAGCATGGTCAGATTCTGGTGAGGACTCTCTTCCTGGCTTATAGATGGCAGCCTTCTCACTTGGGCTCAGTAGGGGGGAAGTGGGAGAAAGTGAGTAGGGCTCTGCTGTCTCTTCTTGTCAGGACAGTAATCCCAAGATAAAGACCTCCCTCTAGGGCCTTATCTAAATCAAATTCTCTCCCAATAGCCCCTTCTTCATTGTTTTATTTTTATCTTCAACTTAAAACATTAACCTACTTTTCTTAGTATGTTAGAACCCACAGGAGTTAGTTTTCTCACAGACATTTGAAAGAGACCCACTATATACTACATATTCACTACTCACTTATTCTGGCCAAAGCTTTAAAAGGCAGCCAGCAATTATATTCCAGAGGTTTTCAACCATGGGTGGAAATAAAGGACTGTATGAAAATTACAATACATTATGGAAATACAATAATAGAAGCTCACAGTTAAGGAAGCATGCTGGAGACGCACTTACTAGTAACTGTGAGTGAACATGATCAATATAGTGTTGAGCTGTATCTTGAAGGAAAAATAGAGATAAGTCACTCAATTAAAATGTGGAAATAGGTTGCATTCCAAAGACTCAGCATATACAAAGTATAAATGAGGAATGTGGGAGATGTATTGAATTCCAGAATATTTTAGTAGGTTAGTCTATCTAGAAACAAGTTAGAAGAAAATACTATATAAGAGAACACTCTATCATATTCTAGAATTTAGACTTTATTGCTCTGATAATTTATAAGAACTACTTTAAAGTATTAAGCTAGATGAGGGGGTAAGATATTGAAGGAGGAGGTAAGTGATCCACCTGGGAATATTTACCACACTCAACCAAGTAGTTTTCTGCTTTGGTTAAAAGCTATCCATACAATATTCAAGTACTAAAATTATATAATATAATTACCAGAAAAATTGTACGTAATGTACATATAAACCATTGGGATGAAAAGCACATTTAAAATAGTATTAATTTTTTTTAAATCAATCTATGTTTAAGGTCATTTTCTCCATTGTGTCTGTTATTACCAAATTCCTCCCTTTTGTGGTGACATGGTAACCTCCAATTTTTTGATGTGGAACATACAGTTTTCTGCTATTGGAGAATGTACTTGAATGTGTATGTTTTGGTCTTCTCAAGAACCAAAATGAATGTAAACTCTTTATTTCTCACCAACTTACGTAGTAGATGCTCACACACACACAAAAAAAGTATTACTGTTTGAGGTGGGTCCAAACATCCCTTGCAGTTTCAGCCCAAAAAAAAGTCTCTCTTGGTTCTCCAAAACTTCTCATCCCAAATCTACTAATTCCTTGGAAACCTCAAGAGAAGAGAAAAGTGGTGTAGGGCATAACAATTTCTCTTTAACTAAACTCAAAAAAATGGTGTTCCTTATCTCCAGGCTTTCATTTGGAGTTCATTTCCTTATTAATAGAAATATTCCTTGCTCCTTCACTTTCCTAGCTAAAACATTGTGGTATTATGGCTAACGTAATAGCTCTCATTAGGGCATTGCTCATTTAGCTTTCTTTTTCAAATTGTCTTCATTTAATTCCACCATTTAAAAATAATTTTTCAATGAGTAGTTTACCATTTCTTACCTTCTTTGCAAATATATTCTATTAATAAAGTTGTTAATTTATAGAAGCAGCAGCTAGCCAATTATTGGTGCTAAAATTAAGAGTAGTCACATGATCACATGGGGAAGAAATTTTTTTTACCTTCCAGAAGAACATATCTAATAATTATAGATAGTGCCCTTACTATTCTAGGTTATTTGTCATTCCGATACAAAGAGGTAATTTTTCAGTCTTGTTTCATCCTGCAGTTTATGAAGAGAATTTTACAAAAGAATCAATATAATTGCTGTAATAGATTCAGTGTTCCTTGAGTACATGTTTTGTTTTCTATCAGACACCCAGAAATTGGGGTAATAAAACGTCATATTAAATATTGGCAGTCCTAGCCAGTTTGGCTCAGCAGGTAGACCATCAGCCTGAAAACTGAAGGGTCCCTGGTTCAATTCCGATCAAGGGCACATGCCATGTACATGCAGGAGGCAGCCAATCAATGATTTTTTTGAATCATCTCTTTTCTTCTCCCTCCCTTTCTGAAATCAACTTTTTTTTGAAAAGTATACAAAAATAAATAAATGACATATTGGCAGAGTATACTGCTTTCTGAATAAATGCAAAGAATTTCACTTAAGTGTTTATATAGGCATAATTTTATCTAAAACATAAGGTTGATGATTATTTTTTTTATCAATCATTTATTTATCACTTACTAATTATGATGTTTTTTAAAGAATTTTGGAGAGGTACAGTGCAGAGAGTTACTGGATACCTCCTAAATCTTTTCTTATTCCTCCTAGGCATACTGCTAGACCATATTTCCCTGCTTCCCTTGCTATATGGAGCCAGGTGACTTTGAGTCCTGGCCAATAAAATGAGGACATTAGGGACTTACAATTTCTTGGCCTGATTTAACCTTTTCCCCTGTTGGATGAGTGAAATGGAAAAATCCCAGGAAACCTTGGGAGGCATATGTTGGCAGTAATGAAAATATGATGTTAAAGGGGCTTAGGCCTCTGAATCACAACTTGGAGGAGAAATCCCTAATGAGGGATGCCCTAGTGAATTATTATTTAAGCAAGAAATATAAGAGCTTACCTATCATGTTAGCACCATTTCAACTAATGTAGTTGGTCAATATTTTATTAGTATGAAACAACTAATTGAATAATTGATTAATCTTTTTAGAAACTTTTCTCATTTATATTGCAGCAATCCCCAGTTTGTCATTTTAAAACAGTATTCATGGTAGAATATTTTTATTCTTGTGTGATTATTTTTTTATATGTTCAGCTACTAGCTTCGGCAAAATATCTACACCATTTCAGACTGCTGTGAGGGCCAACGCAGTCTCCTTTTTAAATGGGAAAAAATATAGAATGGTTGCTGGAAATCTCATGTGTATCCTTCCTTCTTATTGTTTTCAAATCCATTTAATGCTTCAGCACATAACTTCCAGCGATTCCAAAGTTATTAATACCTGATTATCAGGGTGATCCCTTGTGTAAGAATTGATGGATGGCAGACTATGCCATCCCTAATTGTGCCATTTTGGCATAAGGATTATTTTGAGCTAGAAGCACTTAAAAATCACAGATGCAAGAAGGGCATTCTAATCGCCTCTTCTCATGCTGAAAACAGAAGGTTTGAAACTCCTGTATGAAAGATGCCCTTCCTACACCAGGAGAAAAAAAAAAAAAAAAAACATTATCTAATGGGGAGTCGAAGCTAAGAGAATTCTGTATAAACAGGCCTTGTTCAAAAATCACTCTTATCTCCCTTTAGCCTCTCTACATGGTTTAGTTACTTTGCCACAATAGCCTCTCTTTGTTCGCCTTAATATAAAAGCATGTAGTTCTGTCATTTCTTTGGGTTTTAATTTCATTATGGGGACTCTCATGTCATGTAAAATCCTCAGAAATTTATTTACTTTCTCCTATTAATTGGTCTAATGTCAGTTTAATACTTAGGTCTAGCCAAAAAATCCTAAGGATAGAGGTAAAATTTTACTTCCCCTTTAGGATTGCTTCTGCTAGAAAAACTTCTGTTTTATGTGATCAAATTTGGCAGGACACAAAATTTTAATGCAAGATGTTTATTCTTTGTAGGGTTTGGGGAGGAGCATGCTTCTGGGTTAAGCATGGAAAGCAGTGATTCAAATTGCATAGCGTTGTGAGATGGGGTTTGGTTTTTGCATCTCAGAAATGTCTGCATTTCAGTATTGACTTTTTCAATGACTCGGGAAAAGCTAGATTTCACCAAATGAGTAGGTGTTAAAGAGAGGTTCTAAAGATAAAGTATTCTTTTCTTTTAGAACTTTGAACTAAATTCTTTTTTTTTAAACATATTTTATTGATTTTGTACAGAGAGGAAGGAAGAGAGATAGAGAGTTAGAAACATCGATGAGAGAGAGAGTCATCGATCAGCTGCCTCTTGCACACCCCCTACTGGGGATATGCCTGCAACCAAGGTACATGCCCTTGACCGGAATCGAACCCGGGACCTTTCAGTCCCCAAGCTGACGCTCTATCCATTGAGCCAAACCAGTCTCGGCTGAACTAAATTCTTAACCTCACACAATTATCTTATTTTTGGGTTAGCCAGTCATTAAGTCTTTAAATCTCTGAATAAAATGGTTAGGGAAGGTTAGGCTACTATAAAAATAAAGGCCTACGTTTTAATGGTGTAGAGTAGTGGTCAGCCAACTGTGGCTCACGAGCCAAATGCAGCTTTTTGGCCCCTTGAGTGTGGCCCTTCCACAAAATACCACGGCCTGGGCGAGTCTATTTTGAAGAAGTGGCATTAGAAGAAGTTTA